AAATGCCTGGGCTTGGACAGCGCCGCCGCGGTCTTGTACTCGTCGCCGTGGCCTCTCATATGCATGCGCAAGTTGGCGTCGCGCTTGAATCCTTTGCCGCAGATCTCGCAGAAGTGCGTGTGCTCGGCGAGGATCTCCATCGCGTCCAGCTCGATGAGATCGTAGGAGCCGGGCGGTAGCGTTTCGTTCTCCTCCTCGAGCTCTTCCTTGCGAGGATCGCCACCGCTGGGAGCGACGTTCCAGGCCGCTGGAGCGAGAGTTTCTTCCTCGTCCTCGTTGAGGTCTGTGAGATATGCCATGAACTCGTCCGTGTCTTGGCCTTCTTCCAGCTTTGGAGCGCTCAGCTGCTGCTGCTCTCGATCGCGATCCTTCTCGAGATCATCGAAGACGATGTCAAGGCCGAATTTTTCCGTGAGAGATGGCGTGCTGCTGTCGCTGCTGCTGCTGCTGCTCCCAGTTCCAAACAGTGATGAACAGTGAAAGCCCTCGTCCTTCTTGATCGCTCCAGTTGGAGCTTTTACGTCCTTGCTTTCCTCCTCGCCATCTTTGAGCTCCAGGATGCCCTCCATGAACCGATCGAGCAGCTTCTCGATCTCTCGCAGCTGCTGCTGGCTTGAATTGTCGGGCCGCGATGCCAGCTGCATCGCCACCGCCTGGAGGTAGCCAATCTTCTCGAAGAGAGTCGGGCAGCCAGCGCTGGAACGCCGGGGGCTCACCGAAGGACTCATTGGAGGATTGGATGTGGAAGGTGTGACCCTTCGCGGAGGAGAAAGAGGAGACGTATCAAACGCTTCCACTCCCAGACCCAAGAGAGAATCCTCACAGTAAGAAGAAGACTCCATCTCCCCAGAGCTCCTTAGAAGACAGTGAAGTAAGAGGAAGACCCCGTATCACTGGATCTAAGGAGCTAAAGTCTGTACTGAGCAAGATGGGAAGCTACTCACTGTGCTTCGGTCGAAATTTGTCGCAAAGCATCTCAAGAAAAATTGCTCTCTCGCCGCCACAGAGAGCCATCCAAATCACCGAATTAAGGCACGACGCTGCCCGATCGGATAGCGCTTTGACCTGCGATCGCTCCGATCCAAATCCGATAAACCCTAAAATATTTGGGGAGAAATTTTAGGGTTCATGAGGAATGGCAGCGGGATTTGTCTTGACGCCCCACAAGCTCTCGATGTGCGTGCTTCTCCAGCTCTACGCGGCGCCGCCCGCGCTCACGCCTCCATTCCCTCTGCCGGCGGCGGTGCGGCATCAGCTGGCGCTGTTCCTGCTCGGATTGGCCAAGGTAAGCACTGCGATCCAAAACGAGAATGCGGCAATCCTAGACGCAGGCCTGCGATGGATTCTTGGAGCCGACGCTCGAGGACCTGGGAATGCAGCTCAAGGAGTGCCTTGGCAGCATTGGCGAGGTGATTGCCGAGCAGCTGGCGAGTCGATTGCTGGGATTTTCATCGCCGGAGGACTTGTTTACCTTTGTTGTGCTGGGACTGAGAGGTAAGCTATTTGTTTGCAAAGTTCTTGCGGTTTAAATAGAGATGTTCCAGAGATTGTTGTCCCGGCTCCATACACAGTTCCTGAGCGCGGTGGTGGCAACGAAGATTCATTGCTGGTAGAACACAATAGCCCGCTGGGACAGTTCTTGCGAAGATGCATCTTGTCATTCAACATTCTATCCTTCGAGGTATGTTCTTTTCTCTTTTTTTACTTTTATGTTCTTTTATGTTTTATGTTCTTTACTTTTTTTTAGAGTTAGATGGATCTTCACTCGGTTGATTTTCTTACTGTAGATCTAGTTGGATCTTACGCTGACTGCTTTTCTGTTTTTTTCGTGTTTCCAGGGAACGTGCCGACTTCTAGCTGAGCTTGATGCATATCGTCGGCCGGCTTTAAGTATTGGTGATGGAAACATTGTTGCAAAAGATTCCTTGTCTTGCCAGCAAGCAGAAGGTGATGATGATGAAGACGAAGAAGAAGATCGGCTAGAAGACGATGAAGACGAAAATGTCATCGCCTCCGTGACACCCGTTCACGGCAGGGAAAGACATGGAAATGGTCGGCGGGCATTCGGAGTTCCATTGATTCCGACTGAAGGTAAGGTCAATGGATCTTTTTGTCCCAGCTAACTTGAGCGACTGCAGGAAGTGAAGAGCTGGAACTGCAAGAGTTCACGGACATGCAGGAGCTCGAAGGTTTTGGTGCAAACCATGTGGGAAACGGTGGAGGTGTTCGAGACGGTGGGTTTGCATTTGCATTTGGTGATGCTGCAAGCAGGGGCGAGCATGCAACACAGGGTAGTTTTCTGCGGACATATGGTCAGGTTGAAGCTTTCATGAAAGACCAAGCCATACTTATAGCCAAGTAAGTTTTCAAGAGTCCTATTAGTTTTTTAGTGGTTCGCTTACTTCCTTTCTTAGAGAACTTGGAACAACGAACAAAGTAGATCTGGACACTAAGCTCAATCTTATAGAAAACTTGGCTCCCGAGATGCACCGGGTACGCGTCGCTTTTATACCGTTGACAGGTTTTGTAAAACGTGTTGAGCAGGTCCACTATCTTCAGTATCTTAACTCTATTCACCATGGAGACTATCCAGCTGCCATGAGCAGACTCCATCAGTACTTTGATTATAGGTAGGGCCTGCGACGTGTTTCACTTGATCTTAATCTTAATATTCTTTTATTTTAGTGCGGGACGAGGAAACATCGCACCCGGCATCGACGCAAGTGTCGGAAGATTCCAAGCTGGCCTTCTCACTCTTGGATCTATGCACGCACACTTTGGTCACGTCACTCAAGCGTTACAGGCAAGTGTTTGTTAAGAGTCCTGAATGTATTGAACTGTGTTTTGTTTGCATGCAGGCTCTCAGTGAAACTGTTCGCATTGCTCAACAAGTACAAGTTTTCTGCTCTCAGAATCCATCTAACTTTCTCCATGCAGAATAACGATGATGCTTGTCTTGCGCATTCTTTGGCTGCTTTGTGCCACTTACTATCGGAAGTGGGTGTTGCTGCCGAAGTTACAAAGGCTGGTGCAATCGGCGACTTTGATCGTAGTATTGGTCCACAGCTCGCTGCTCAGCAGCATCTGCTTCTTTCTTTAAAGCGGTGCTTAAAACGAGCATTAGAGCTGAAACTTCCCAATCTAGTTGCATTCAGTCGCTTGGCTTTAGCGAAGTTTGATCTCCAGGTAATCAGAATATCAGGTTTAGTACATATTTATTGATGATTGAAGATGATATGCTGCGTAGCATGTTCGCAGGTTGCCTCTGATCGGAGGGCTGAGAAGCTCCGAACAACTTGGGACATCGCCAGTTGATGTTTGCAAGGTAATACTTTGGATTAGTTATATTAGCTAACGTGTTTCTTCCAGACTCTCAGAATCAGTCCATATCTTCTAGGCGACCTGGTGCACAGTATGTCGTCATCCGGGTCGCAGCGGATCACTTCTGGGGCTTTCGGTCAAGCACCTGGAATGCCCGGAAACACTCAAACAGGAAGGCTGGGACCTTTGTCAGAATCACTGTTGAAGCTGGCTGGATCCTCGTATCTTCTTCGATCTTGTTCGTGGGAGTTGTATGGCAGGTATGTCGTTTGTTTTGTTTGTCTGTACATCGTTCTGAAACTCTTTTATACAAGCGATCCGATGATGCGCGCGAGTACCTTGGTTCATGCGTACTGCTACTCCAAATCCGCAAGGTTTGGCCGTGGATTACGCTTGAGTGGAAATGTTTTTCCAACTCTTGTTCTGTCCAGTGCAGATGATTTATCGGTAGCCTATGTAAAGCTTGCCCATCATTTAGCAGCTCATAAGGGATATAGAGGTATCATTAAGCTTTCACCTTGGCCTTTTACGTAAAAGTTTTGCTGTTTCAGTCGCTTTAACTGCGCTGGAGCAAGCAATGAAGAAGTTTCCACTTCATGCTAGATCTTCTCTGCGATCAGTTCAACTTCAATTTATTCATAGTCAGGCTATTAACCGGTATGTTTAGAATAAACCTTCTTTGTGATGTTTCTGACTCATCAAACCTGCAGTGGAAATACCAGGCTTGCATGGGTAGCATGCTCCGAGCTTGCGGCAATGGCTTCGCCAGTCCTAGGCGTTGACATGGAACTAAAGTTTGAAGCTAGTTATCGCCACGCACTAACGCTTCTGGCGTGTAAAAACTACAGTGAGGTACACGTTTGGCTGGCGCTCCTGTTTGCTTTGGTAACGTGTCTTGGCTATGGCAGGCAGCGACTTCAGCAGGAGAACTGTTCGCTTTGTGCTACAAGTATGACATGCAGCTACACGTTGTCAAAGTCTTACTTCTTATTGCTGAGATTCACAAGGTCTTGATTCTTTCCTTTTTCTTTTCGATACTGTTACTCATTCTAAAGAACTCTTGTCCGTCCAGAAATCCGGGAGTGCTGTCACGGGGCTACCATACGTACTAGGCAGCATAACACTCAGCCAGTCACTCAACCTGGACCTTCTCCATGCGGCGTCCCGGGTCAGCTTAGCAGAACTTTGGCTGGACCTTGGAGCCGACCACGCTCAACGAGCACTCGACCTTCTCCAGCAAAGCTTACCACTTGTCCTCGGCCATGGCAGCCTCGAGCTTCGTGCGCGGACCAACCTCTGCATTGCGCGGTGCTACTTAAGCAGCACAGACTTCTCAGGTATCATTTTCTTCTTTGCTAGACTTTCCGGACTTACGTAGTCTTCTCCTTTTGTTTGCAGTGGCTACAGCTCCAGAGCTTGTACTTGATCCACTCCAACTCGCCGCGGAAGAATTCATGAATTTAGAAGTAAGAGACTTTGATACTTACTGGCAAGGCCTTGATTTCAATCGCTCCTCACTTTTTCCAGGACAAAGACCAGGCATCCGAAGCTTTCTACTTGCTGGCCACTACGTTTAACTCGATCGGTCGTATGGAAGATCGAGACAAAGCCGCGGAGAAATTCCAGCAGTGTGTGGTGGAAGAACTGTAAGGCCAGGCCAACGAGCGATAACCAGCAAGGATTCTTCCAGTACGGAGATTCATGTGAATCGCCAAGATTCCGATTCCTGTACGTATGTGTCGGTAGCCACGTGTCCATGGCGTGTCTGTAATATCTTTTTCTCCTTTTAAAAAACCAGCTAGGGTTCTTCCGCAATGGTAGCTATGGCGCCCGCATTGCACGATAAGGCGGCAGCAGCGGTCCTTCCAGAGGAGATTTCGATCGATTCTTGCGGCATTGAGCCGGATCTCGAGGATGCCGATGCGATCGGCAAGCTGCGGGGCGAGCGGGAGATTGTTCTTGGCAGGAATTTGCACGACCAGTGTTTCTCGATCACGGAGCCCGAGCACGACGACGAGGAGACCGGCGATAAGGATGTGTACATGGCTGGTGTTCTTGCGCGCTACCGGAAGACGCTGGTAGAAAGGACGAAATATCACCTGGGTAAGAAATTTTCTTCTTCCTCCTTGCTGCTTTGGAGTGTTTGTTTGAGCTCTTGCGATTGGAATGCAGGGTATCCATACAACCTGGATTTCGACTACGGTGCTCTCTCGCAGCTACAGCATTTTTCCATCAACAATCTGGGAGATCCTTTCATCGAGAGCAACTATGGTGTTCATTCTCGGCAATTCGAGGTCGGTGTTTTGGATTGGTTTGCGAGATTGTGGGAGCTGGAGAAGAACGAGTACTGGGGATATATCACAAACTGTGGGACGGAGGGAAATCTTCACGGCTTGTTGGTCGGGTAAACTTATTTCTTTCCTTTCTTCTTCACGGACTTGTTCTTACTTTGGTACTTCTTTTTCCCACAGGAGAGAAGTTTTCCCGGATGGCATCCTCTATGCCTCCAAAGACTCGCATTACTCGGTATTTAAGGCAGGACGTATGTATAGGATGGAAGTCGTGAAGGTTGACACACTTCTATCCGGCGAGATCGACTGTGCCGATTTTCAGCGCCGACTGCTGGAAAACCAAGACAAACCAGCCATTGTGAACGTTAACATAGGTGAGTGAGAGAGCGAGTGAGTGAAAGTTCTATTGTCTAGTTCTCGGATATTGATTCATAGTACTGTTTCAGGTACCACTGTCAAAGGAGCAGTGGACGATCTTGACGGTGTAATTAAAACACTGGAAGACTGTGGCTTCTCCCAGGACCGCTTCTACATCCACTGTGATGGTGCTCTCTTCGGGCTCATGATGCCGTTCGTGAAGAGAGTAAGCTCCACAAAGTTCATGTTCTTCGTGTTCTTAAGCGCAAGGCGTGTTTTTTCTCTTCTTTCCAGGCACCAAAAGTGTCTTTCAAAAAGCCTATTGGAAGTGTCAGCGTTTCGGGACACAAGTTCGTTGGCTGCCCGATGCCATGCGGCATCCAAATCACCAGGATCGAGCACATCAACACGCTGTCCAGGAACGTCGAGTATCTGGCATCCAGGGACGCGACCATCATGGGAAGCCGCAATGGCCACGCACCACTCTTCCTCTGGTACACTCTAAACCGCAAAGGCTACCGCGGTTTCAAAAAGGAAGTGGAGAAGTGCCTGGCAAACGCGCACTACTTGGCCGGTTGCCTCCGGGAGTCCGGATTCGGGGCCATGCTCAACGAGCTCAGCAGCACCGTGGTGTTTGAGAGGCCGCAGGACGAAGCCTTTGTTCGAAAGTGGCAGCTCGCGTGCCAAGGCAAGATTGCGCACGCGGTGGTGATGCCCAGCGTCACGGTGGACAAGCTCAAAGTTTTCCTCAAGGAGCTGATTGAGAGCCGGAGCCGGCTCTTCCCGGACGGGAAAATCGTGGCTCCCTGCGTCGCGGAGGAGCTGGGCGCGAAGAACTGCGCTTGCGTCAAGCACTCCTCCTGTTCCTGGTAAGTTTTTCTAGCTTTGGTTTCCTCTTCTCTGATATCTCATTGTTCCAGAGCTTGGTGCAAATCTCTCGGGTGTACGTAGGTGATAAGTATCTGCGTAGAAGAGATATTGTGCTAGTGGATGAGCGAGCCAACTTTTTCTCGAAACTTTGGACTCCATACAATGATAGAGCTGTGGGATTTCCAGTCAAGAAATTTAGAAAGACAAGGTCATGCTTTTGAGACCTTGAAAGAAAATTAAAATGAGAAGAACTCCAGAAATTTTCTACAGACAAGATCATGCTTTTGAGACCTTGATAGAAAAAACAAACCCTATAATAGAGCTGTGGATTTTCCAGTCAAGATCATGCTTTTGAGACCTTGATAGAAAAATCAAACTCTATAATAGAGCTGTGGATTTTCCAATCAAGATCATGCTTTTGAGACCTTGATAGAAAAATCAAACTCTATAATAGAGCTGTGGCTTTTCCAGTCAAGATCATGCTTTTGGAACTTTAAAAGAAAAATCAATCCTTGTGATAGAAATCCAAGAGTATCATGGGCGATTCTTCTTTGAGAACTTTGATCGTCAGTAGAGAAGTTACTAAAGCAATCCATCCATTGAAGATGAAACAATGTACACATTCTTCACCGAAAGAGATCTTCCCAAGCCAAGAAGGAAAGAAGGAGAGGAGGAAGAAGATCATATAGAATTCTCTACTTATCTGGAAAGAGAGCGAGCGAGCGATTAGATTCCCAGAGTAGCGAGCGATCTTCCTCCTTGATCAATTGTCATAGACCCGGCACTCATCCGTCTCTGGATTGTCCTTGCAAAACGCCTCCAGCGGATCCTTGCCCTTGTCCTTGTCCCTCTGGTGAGACGCGGCGGCGCTCACCTCCTCCACCTCGTCCCACGCCACCACGCACTCGGCCGACGCTGGATTCTCCGCGCACACCTCCTCCGCCTGCTTGATGCTCTCCTCCACCTTACCCTCCAGCGGGCTCGCGCACGCGATCGTCGTCGCCATCCTCCTCCTCCGCGACGCCAATCGAATCCCCCCCATTCCCCCTCGCGCCGCCGCGCAGAAGCTCCTCCTGGGAATCGCGGAGATCTGCTGCTGCTGCTGCAAGAATTGGGGCTGCTGGAGCGCCATCGTTGTAATCGCGATGGACGCCATGAGCGCGCGAGCTATCGATCGATGCGAGGATCTCTCTCCCAAGAGCCCTAGCTCCAGGGCAAACGATCACCACGCAAGGAGGAAGAGATATCACTGCCACGTGGAGTCCGCTGATTGATCGAAAGCACGGCAGGTTTATGGCTTCCAAAGCTGCAGGAAGTAGACCAAGAGAGAAGTGGGAAAATATAGACCGGGTGCTCTAGGAAAAAATCCAAGCCATGGTTCCCACATTTCACTTTGCGAGATTTTTTCTTTGTTTTGCCTTGCCTATCAATCGCATTCTCGGGCTCGCTCGCTCAGGCGTTTTTTTTTTATCGAGAATTATTCAGGAGTAGCTCAATGATTGATCTGGAACGAGGAAAACTTCGATCTTCTCAAGCGTAATAACAAGGAGCTTACTTGTCGTGATCACGAGCGCGAGCCAGGCGACGAGAACTTTGCGTTGTTTCCCCTCTTGTCATGACCCAGGCGCTACTTCTTCCTCGTTTCTCTGGATGGCAGCAATCTTAGCTCTGGACGAGTCCCCTTGGCCATCATCTGGAAAGAAAACCAATAAAGTTAGTCACTACTGCTTGATCGAAGAGAGCAAAAGAGAAATCCTGGAAACCAAAGCTAAACGTTGCGAAAGCCAAAGTGAGTATACTACTACCTGCGACAATCCTGCTTCTCTTGCGTGACATCCGCTTGACAAGCCCCTCGTAGAGCTCGACGAGGAGCTTGGGATCCTTCTCCACGTACATGCTGTAGTCCCCGAACGTCGGCAACACTTGCATGTCCATGGAGGCCGTCCGGAGCACCGCGTCCTTGACAGTCTCCGAGTCATACTTTCGAGCCAGGTCCAAGAGATTGATGGCGTTGTCCCGGGAGACGTTGCTGACTAGAAACTCCTCGCACACGGCCTTGAGGAGCTTGACGCCGTATTTCTCTGCAGCACAGAAGAGAGACGCGGCATGTTTCTTGAGCACTTCGGGACACACTGTGGCGGTGTAGAAGAAGCGCACAAACGCTTCCAACACATCGTGCGAGAAGTCGTCGATTCGGACGACACCGCTTTGGGCTTCCTTCATTTGAGCACTAAACATGGCCTTAAACACAGGTGACTTCCCCGCCTGCGCTAGAAACAGGCAGACAAACAAAAACCACAGGGGCGCTCACATGTGAAAAAACATGTGGGATTGAGAGCTTTTTGTTTGGCAAGGCTGCACTGCTGAGCATCTCTCTCACTCAAAAGCTTTAGAACAAAGCTTTCAAGGAACACACACACACACAAAAAAAAAAAAAAGAACTCGAAGCAAAAAACGTAGAAAACCTCTCATCCCGTTCTCTCTCACGCAAAAGGTTTAGAACAAAGCTTTCAGGGAAGGCAAAAGCAAAAAACAAACGACCAAAGCTTTCAGGGAAGGCGAAAGCAAAAAACAAACAACCAACAAAAGAAACTGGAAGAAGAAAACATTTTCATCAGAACAAAGAAAAAGAGAGGAGCCCTTGCAGAAAAATGGTTTTTCCCGACTTCTAAAGGAAACAAAAACCCGGAACAAACAAAGAACCGGAAAATCTCATTCCAGGAAGATCACGAAGAACAATCAAGCACGCATTATTATCAAAAGCCAAAGGAAACCAAAGGAAAGAAATAAACTAGATGCTAAGCTAGGACTTGAGAGAAAGATCGCTTACCAGGATCGCCTTGTGCGCGCACACATCCGGCCCATCACACGCCTTGAGCGTCACATCCGACAGCGGCAAATCGAGGGTGTCCTGGTCCCAGGCGCGAAGGAATTCGGCCTGGCGCGCCACGGCTTGCAGGCGGCGCTCCTCGTCCCGGAGGCGCTGCTGCGCGGCTTGCAAGCTCCCCACCAGCGACTCCAGCCTGTGGATCCGGCCCCTGTGGCATCGATCACAATACGCGAACTCCACCGCGTAGGAGCGAAACTCGTACCCTGAGAGGAGCCTCTTGCAAAGCACGCATTCCACGCGAGGCATATTCCTCCTCTCTCCGTGTGCCCTAGAGGGAATTTTTTCTAAAAGATTTTTGGCGCCAAGGGCGTTTCGCGCGGGAACGGTTCGCCACGTGGCGTGTTTGAAGTTAGAATTTAGGTTAGGACTAGATAAACAAAAAGGTACCATTAAGAAAGAAAAATTAGTCAAATAAAATTGAAACGAGATTGCAGCCACTTCCTCTCTTTATCAAGCAGATAAGCCAGGCTTAAAAAAGTAGCACTACAGGATTATGCACCCTAAGGAACTGGTGGTCAAAGTGCTCAAGCAGAAACAGCTCTAAATATCAAAGCTTGAGAACAAAAAAGTGAGAATAGAAACTTAATTTAGTCTTGTTATAGCCTGCCAGAGAGAAAGAAAACTAAGATAAGTTTCAAGAACATAGAAGCTTAGAATAGCATGCATTGTTTGTTTCTCCAATTTCTCCAGCTTCTTTGTAGGTCTTTACACAAGTCCCAATTGGCCTTCTTTGGAGTGATGCTAAGCATGGGATCCTGAAAATAAGAACACACAAGAAAAAAAGAATGAACAAACAATCACCTTTTGTGATCTAGACTTACACTTTCTCCTCTTGTAAATTTTCTTTGCCATTCACATTGCATGTGGAGATGTAGTTCCTTCAAGCCATCTGTTTCATGTTCTCCAGAAGTGAAGGTATTTATGGCAGAATGTCATGCTTGACATTAATAGTCTCTTTAGGAATACACTACCAAACTTCTGTAGAGTGTCTTCTTGTGTAGTTAATGAGAGGTTACATTCATCCATCTGGATGAAGTCCTCTTGGATTGAAGATCTCTGCCTGGCTCCTCTGGCTCCCAATGTGCCGCTATCATAATTTGAATCTGAGGCTCCTTCCTCTGGCTCCCAGTGTGCTGCTGTGGCTATCTCTCCATCACAGTTCCACCTCTATCTCTTTTGGATCACAATCTACAGATTTTGTTGGCACCAAGGTTGATCAGACAGCAAGCGTCTTCTAGATTGACATGATATCTTTAGTCAATATCTCACATTCATAATCAAAGTTACAAAATCTAATTCCTAACCTAACTGCCATCTCTTGTTTTAGCCTGGAAAAAATGTATATAATCTGCAGCTTTGATCCGAAGCTACTGGTGGTGAACAGTGAGATTTGCAAACCACATCCAACGAGTGAGGTTTCTCTTTTCTCTTTTTCCTTGAATTTCAAGTGTCTTTATCTTTGTAAATTCAGGTTCGTAGCAGCAAACGAATTTCAGGTCTTCACGACAAAGGTACGACTGTTTCTTTTCATGTGCAAAAATGATAGGCCTATGCACCACTTTTCTAGTGGTTGAAATGGAACTCTTGCATCAATACCGGGGAACTGCTATGTCTGCAAAGGTGCTGTAGCTTTTGTATAATTGAACAGAGAGTAGGCCTAGCCTAAGTCAACAATTTTGCAGGACTTTGGTATTCTTACGCGGTGCTGGAGGATTCTAGGCAGGTCCTGGAAAGCCGTTCTCCTTCTCGTTTCCAACATCGTCACAATTTCCCATCAGTTTCAATGAGAAAGAATTTGACGCAACTCCCCCAGACTTCGAGTTTGAAGATCAAATCAGGACGAACCAGGCAACGAAAGATTAATTTTCATTTTTAGTTTTTCCTTGTAGAACATAGATGTAGGCGTTACTCTGAGACATGAATCCCTTGCATTCGGACCCAAAGCTCGCCGCAGATGCAGGGTAAGCTTTGTTGTTCTTGCGAATGACGTCTGTGACGGGATTTAAAAACACAGCTTCCAGCGTCCCATTCGTCATGGACTTTGCATGCTTAGCTATGCCGTGAGAGGTATAATTCGGTGCGGCTGCGACGGTGATCCGATGAGAATTGCAACGATCAGCTCCAGGTTCCTGCACCACATCTATCCGGGGAAATGCTCGTAACATTGAACAAGGCAAGAGCTCGCAGTAAGCACTCGCAATCGTTTCTCTTGCTAGATCATCCTTGTAACGTTTGCTTCTTCTTTCAGGATCTCCTTCAAGTGTAAAGTTAAGGAGAGAGGCGAATTCGTCCTATCTGGGACAGTGTTCTTGACCATACACCACTCTAAACTGTAATCGTATCTCTTTTCTCTATTTTCGTTTTCTTAATTCAAAGAGCATTACATCTATAATCTCGCCACCTTTATAATCTTGTTCTAACAATAGTTGAATCTCTTTTCTCTAGTTTCGAACAACACGCAATGATTCAAAGAAGCCACCTTTTTAACACTGGAACATTCTCGTTCTAAAGTTTAGGGTGAGCTGCGCGACAAAGGAAGTCGTTGCTACTGGGCTGCCAAGGTTGTAAGCGCTTGCGACCGCTTCCCAGTCCTTGACGAATCTATCCGCGAGAGGCGTATTGATCTGCCCTTGCTGCTTATACAGTATAAACTCGTACTTGTGCTGCATGAAATCGTGGGGTGCAGGCCTCATATACTCCTCCAAAATGGTGCCAGCGTCAACCTTTGATCCAGGGATGTTGGCGATCCAATAGTGGACGTACGTGAATTGATCTGCCAATGTAAACATCGACTGCGAAGCTCGCCTATCTATCATCACGATGGAGTAAAGCTGTGCAGGATCAACATCTCCGGGGACCATAACGTTGGGATGAATCGCGGTTTGCGGGCAGGTCAAAAGGGTTCCATCGGCGAAGGTATCCTTTCCTGTGTAAGAAACAGCTATAGAGATCGATTTCTCCACTGCTAGAGATCTTGGCGATGGAGATCGTGGTGGAGTAGACGCTAACAATCGCGAAGAAGTAGCTCCTGCAAAGAATATAGCCAAGAAAGCAACTACCACAAGCTTCCTCATTGATCCTTTGTTGTGTTGTGATCGCTTTGATACCTAGATTTATATAGTGATTTACCTTTTAACATAGGGTTTATGTATTCCTTTTTGGCACCTTTTCGATTTTATTTTCATTACTAGGGTTTGGGACCGCTCAGGATTTTGTTTGATTTGGATTATGTTGCATTTCTAGAGTAAGGCTGTGGTGTCATCACAGAACCTTGAAGGCAAGATTTAGTTTGATTGCTTCTTCTCAAGTGCTTGACATTGCCAAGGTTTGGGAGGCTATAGCATCATCACAGTACCACTAAGTGGAGAAAAATCTCAAAACACACTCACCGACCAGCTCTATATGGAGTGCGACATAAGTCAATTCCTTTCATGTTGATGTCTTGCTTAAGCAATCTCTCTGGGTTGAGCTTTTCAAGCTTAGACCAGATGGATAGATCTTGGGACCACATGTTTACTATGGCTATGCAGGGATGTGGTGAGCAGCCAAGCTTACATCATGAATTGCCAACCGAGGCCAGGAGAGCAACGATGCATCTGGAGAGTTTCCTTCACAACAGCTTGGAGGTACACCATTTTCAAACTTGGCAACTTTAGACTTTCCAACTATACCAGTAATCTCATTGCACAACCTTCTTTTTGATTTCAGGATGGATGGCAAGCTCCACTCCATTCAGTGAAGAGCACAACGGTGTCAGGCCTTGGAAAATCATCTCCTATGAAGTCACAGCATCAGAAACATTATGTACGTCATTAGAGCAGGAACTGCATACTACTGAGATGATGTTTATGCATTTTAAAGTGAAAATACATGTTAAGAATAACTAATTAGAATGAAAAGTGGTATAGTGAAAAGGTGGCTTCTTTTTATGTTATGTGTAAAAAAAAAATCATTAGCATTTCACCAGAAATTTTTGTCATTCTTCCTAAAATTTTGCCATAAAAGTTTTCCATAAAAGTTTTTTTTGAAAAAATCCTCTGTCCAGGCTGGCAGTGTTACTTGAGGCTGTAAATATCACCAGCAAGCCTATTATTGAAAAGAACTGTAAATGTGGGAAGAACCTATGTGATGACTTCTAGCTGTCAATAGAAGAAGAAAAACAAAACACTTAGTAGTACTTACTATGAACTTTATGTTCTTCCACAGTTTCCATGAAGGAGTTATGCATCTATTTACCTGCAAAGTGAAAGAAATCATTTCAAAGCAACTGAAAAAAAGATTAACATTGGGATCTTTGATGAAAACTATTGCAGTTGCCAACTCTAATCCAAGCCTACTCCATATGCAAAAGCATGAATCAAGTCATGTAATTATCACTGAAAATACCAGCTTTTCTAAATTGAAGCTTCCTCTTACCTCCACAAAACACATTCAAATATAAGGGGTTCCAAATGTATAGTAGGGATAGTGGTTGGAATGCATGTCCGACCACCTGAGATATTAATTTGGCTCTCACTGGGCTATGTTGCTCCTTGTTCTACGTTCGGCTTGGGTTTAAACCCAAGCTCCATGCTACTCTAGTTGATGGAGTACCCTCCTCCTTGCATTAGGCCACCAGCATGCAAAATTGTGCCAAACTCCATCTGACACTATTTTGTGTGCAAGTGTTGGATATGGGGAGTTAGTGCTTGTGGGATTGTACTTGACCCTCGTTTCGTAGCGCAACAGGCTTGGAGTTTAGCTCCAAATTCAGGTGTGCTACATTTGGTATCAGAGAAATTGTTTCAGTGATTCCTATCCAACTTTTGTCGGATTTTCTGACTCATGTTGCATATGGAGAGACTCTTCTAGGAGATCCAAAGCGACTTATGTAGGATTAATTGGATTGCACCATTTGGTAAGAACGTTATATGCATGTTCAGTTACTAATAGAGGCATGCATACAACTAGTGGGATGGTGAAAAGGAATTGTGCTGATGATGCTGAAACTTCTAAACGGGTGAATCGAGAGGAGGAAACTCTTGCTAGAGATGTTATGGAAGAGGCTGAGGTTAAGTCAGAAAAGGAAGAGCCAGATTCTGCAGCATTGCAGCATATGGCTCAGGAAATCAAGATTGAGAATTTGCAAAGGGAAGTTTGCAAATTGAAAAAGAAGAACAAGAAGAGGAAGAAAGAAGTTGAGGTAGTTAAACCAACTAAACCTAAGAAACCGGACTCCTCTTCAAGTTTTGAGGACGATGAAGTTCTACAACCGCCCCCGATTGCACGAGTTTCAAAGTTTAAGCCTCCGAAACCACCCAACTTCAGAGGCATGTGGGACTAGCAAGTTTTGGAAGATTGGGTCTACGATATAGAAAACTATTTCATAGCGGCAGACACAGATGATCATACAAAAGTTGCGTATGTGCAATCCTTCCTCACCGATCATGCCAAAACTTGGTGGCACTAGGTGTGTGTTGAAAAAGAGCAGACTAAAAGTTGGACCAAGATGTGGTCTTGTATCCGTAAAGAATACTTGCCGAATAATCTTGGTTTGAGACTTCGGCAGTTAAAGCAGCAAGGGGACCTCATGCATTACGTTAATGTGTTTTCTCAGAAGCACATTATAATTGCAAATATGAGTGATGAAGATGCTTGAAGTTATTTCCTAAAGGGTTTAAGTTCACTTTCTCACAATGAGGTTTTGAAGTTTAAGCCAAATATGTATCTAGAGTGTAAGGACGCAGCACAGTAAGTTGCATTTAGTCACTCGCTCATAGAACAATATCAACCATATGCTGGTACCTCGGATAAGAATAAAAATTCTGGGAATAAACAAAGTGATTGGAAACAGAGGGTGGAAGGCAAGTTCCACCTTGGAGGCTCACAAGCAACAGTTAACAAAGGTGGTGGTGGTTGGAGGCCACTAGCAACTTCTTCTAGTCTTATGCCCTCTGTTCCTCCTCCTGGTGGGTACAAGCAGCAACAACCTACAAAACCTGCTCCTAGCGGAACGGGTAGTGTGGGTCATTGTTTCCATTGTGGAGAGTCAGGACATACGTCCTCGGAATGTCCCAACTAGCATAAGACAGGGTCTCTTGTTAATGTCATGAGGGAAGACGGTGGTGGTGAAGTTGAAGGGGTTGACGAGTTGGTCAATGCAGATTATAAGGAAGAGGAGGTGAGTTACTTTCGTCAAGTTTTTCTTGCAGTCAATGCAAACATTGATCTGTTCATATATCTGGTAGGCTTTGTCCGCAAACACCAAATCCAAGTGATGATTGACACAGGAGCTATGCACAATGTGATATCCGAAGACTTAGTTAAGTTGTTAGGATTGAATGCTAAGTAGATGTCGCCTATGCACTTCTAGTTTGCAGAAGGTGGGCAAGTAGCCAAAAAATTTTTGAGTGATGTTCTAATAAAAATATCCAAGTGGAAAGAAAGAGTGGACTTAGTAGTGTTGAAGATATTAGATTTTTAGATGGTGTTTGGTAGGGATTTCTTCAACAAATATGTTAAAGGGATTTATAGTGCTGGACAAAGTCATATCACGTTGAAGTCAAAAGGATGTCCTAATGTGTCCTTCCAATTGCAAAAGCACTCCTCAAAGGATTGGGATGCCAAGTTCATGATTGTGAGAGCCGCTCAAAAAGCAACTAAGAAGGGATTTCGGACCTTTTGGGTTCAAGTGATGGAAGTTGAGGGAGTTGGTGACTCAATTCGAATTGGTGATGGGGTTGATCCTGTACCAAAGAAGATATTAGAGTTGTTGGCAAGAAATCAGGATATCTTTCTGAAAGATTTGCCACCAGAGCTACCTCCTAGCCATGAGGTTGATCATCGGATTGAGGTCATTCCGGGTTCTACACCACCTACAAAGGCTCCATATCGTCTGAACATCAAGGAGATGGTTGAACTCAAGAAACAACTCACAGAGATTTTTGACAAAAGTCATATCCGACCAAACAAGTCACCTTATAGAGCGTCAGTACTTTTGGTTATGAAAAAAAATGGAACTATGAAGATGTGTATCAACTATTGGGCACTCAATAAGATCACAGTTAAAAACAGTTATCCTTTACCTTGCATTGATGACATTTTTTATCAACTCTTAAAGGCCAAGTATTTTATGCGACTTGATTTGCGATCCGGGTATCATCAGATACAGGTGGCAGATCAGAATGTGGAGAAGACAGCCTTTAAGACTTGGTACGGATCTTATGAGTTCCTTGTCATGCCATTTGGGTTATGCAATGCTCAGGCAATGTTCAGCACTATGATGGATAGAATATTCAAGGATTACTTGGACACATTTGTTGTCCTATATATCGACAATGTTCTAGTCTTTAATGAAACGTTGGAGGATCATTTGAAACACTTAGAGCTGGTGTTTCAAAAGTTGCGCGAACACAAATTGTATGCTAAGGAAAGTAAATACACTTTTGGACAATTGTGCGTAAACTTTCTTGGACATATAGTTGGTGGTGGCGTAATTGAGGTGGATCCAAAGAAGGTGGAAGTGGTGAAGTCCTAGGAAGTCCCGACCACTATATTAGATGTTCGTTCCTTTCTCAGTTTGGCGGGATACTATCGCAAGTTTGTCCGCAATTTTGCAACAATAGCTCTTCTGTTGACTGAGTTAATGAAGAGTAGTATACCATTTCATTTGACACCAACTTATCAATGTGGTTTTGTACGATTGAAGGAGATCTTGACTATAGTTCCTATTCTTAGGATCCTAGATCTTGATAAACCCTTCAAAGTGCATTGTGATGCATCTGGCTATGCTATTGGTGCTGTGTTGCAACAAGATTGTGACAAAGCAGTTGGTGTTATGCTAAGGTGACATGGTTGCGTTTTATTCCAAGAAATTGGATGAAACTTAACGAAGATGGCCAACACATGAGAAAGAGATGTTTGCTATAGTGTCGGCCTTGGAACATTGGCGACACTACTTGGGTAGACATACCAAGGTTTATATAGATAGTAACACACTAAGTTACTTTGCTACACAGCCTAAGCTTACGCCGAAGCAAGCTCATTAGCAAGAGAAGTTTGCTAGATATGATATTGAAATCATATATAAACCTAG